ATGTTCCAGGTCAAGCAATCAGGCAGAGAGCAGAGAATTCTCCCTTCATCTGCCTTTTTGTTCTTTTTAGGCTCTTGACAGATTAGATCAGGCCCACCTATATTGGGGAGGGCAATCTACTTTACTCAGTCCATTGATTCAAATGCTAATCTCTTCTGGAAACACCCTCACAGACACACCCAGAAATAGCGTTGATATGGTTTGGCTGTGTCCTCAACTAAACCTCATCTTGAATTCCCTCATGTTGTGGGAGGGACCGTGTGGGAGGTAACTGAATCATGGGGAAAGGTCTTTCCTGTGTTGTTCTCATGATAGTGAATAAGTCTCACAAGATCTGATGGTTTTATAGGGGAGTTTCCCTGCATAAGCTCTCTTCGCTTGTCTGCCGCCATGTGAGATGTACCTTTTACCTTCCACCATGATTGTGAGGCCTCCCCAGTCACGTGGAACTGTAAGCCCATTAAACCTCTTTCTTTTGTAAATAGCCTCGTCTTGGGTATGTCTTTATCAGCAGCATGAAAATGGACTAATACAATCATTTAACCAGATATCTGGGTATCCTATGGCTCAGTACAGGTGAGGCATAAAATGAACCATCACAGCCTCCAATACTGTGCTAGATGCTGAAGATAAACAGATGAATAAGACCTAGTTGTAGATCTCAAGCGCTCTCAGAAGACCTATGCAGCTTTCTCCTTTCCCTCTGTTGTTAGCTATATTGTACTCTGGTGTGACACTAGGTGAACATGAGTAAAGTGCTCCAAAGGCTTTGCACTCAGAATTGTTGGAGGAGAAATCCCAGAAGAATCTAGATTTGTGCCAGTCTGGAAGACTAAGATCCCCACAGAGGAGAGGAGAATCGGTGAAAGACTTTGCAGGCAAAGAATTGCAGAAGAAAAATTAAATTTTCTCTGTAATTCCTCTTGTATTTTTTCTTTCTTTCCTGTACACTGCTAAATCCTAGTCCAGACATCAACACACTTTCCGCTCCTCTTGGCAATCTCTTAAGGCTCTGGTTTTAGGCTTAGACTTCCTCATTCCCATCTCCAACATGATGACAGATACATTAATTCTCCCTAACTCTGTTTACATTCTAGAATGTCTTCTCATAATAAAATTCAGAAATCTTAACCTGAAAATCAAGGTCTTTATAGTCTGACACTAAACTTCTATTGTAATTTTATTTCTTATTATTAGGATGCCAATGAACAATAAATAAATAAAACAAAAAGCCAAGGAAATTTATATATTCTTCTAAAGGGATCAACTTATTGTTTTCTAATGATTCACTGGGGGATGGTATAACATGTCATTTTGGAGCAAAAAGAGTACTGAGTTCAAATTCTGATTGTGTGATATTGGGTTAGTTATTTAACCCTTCACTGCCTATTAGGGTCTTCATTCATAAAAAGGATGATACTGTTGATGAGTACACACTGTGTGTGACTCTGATCCAGGAATTTTTTCAGGTACTAGGGGTATTGTAGCTGAACAAGTCCCAGCCCTCCAGCAGCTTGAATTAAAGAAGTAAACAAATTAATGAATTATATACTTTTTGATAATGAAAGTTTCATTAACAAAATGTATCAGACTAATAAATAGACAGAGATGGAGAATGGGAATGGTGGAGAGTCCTTATTAGGCAGGGTGGTCATGAACAGGTTCATATTTGTGCCAATCTCATAGGGTTTTTGTGAGGATTAAATGATGTGACAGTACATTGCACATAGTAATCCCCCAGGGAATCTTAGCTGTTGTATAGTCTTTGTTTTTGACTTCTCTGAATCTTGCCTCATACTATTGCCCCATCTGGAATGTGCTTCCTCTTCTCTGCTCATATCCTGCAACTTCTCAAGGCATGTTTGAAGCCCTCCCCTCTTCATGGACTTGCATCATGTATCTCCAAACCCCAGGAAACAATATTTTGACTTAAACATACTTGCAGATATTTAGCCTTTAATCATGTGCAGGCTTATAACATCTCTTGACATAGACTATTTTGAATTTTTGAGTTATGATTTAACTTACATCTAGGAATTTTTGTTTTTTCCAAGTAGAATATAAGTTCTCCAAGGACAAGAAATGATATATTCTTTAGTTTTTAAAAATGAAGAGGTCATATAAATGAAGGAGATTTAATAGATATTTGCTGATTCATTAACAAAATACTTTATAACCTTTACCATCAGCTCCCAATCTGGAAAGAATCATCCTGAATATGGAATTGTATGACTTGAAGACCCGGAGATTAGTATGGGCAGTTTAGATCAATACTTAGATTGGCTTTCAAAGTTTTGTGATATGAACTCCCCAAAATGCCCAGATTAATGCTTATTCTCACTGTAAAAATTTTTTCTGTTATGCAGCATTTCGATCAAAAAGGATTTTATATACTTATTAACATATTGTATTATAACAACAAAGATGATGCCACTTATAGTTTGCTGAGTGGGAGTAATATTTACATTCTTAATTTAAAACACTGTTTATTTAAGGAGCGTGTACTATTTGAAGAGAATGGGAGTTTAGGGCTGTACATTACTGCTGTGCTGCATGCAGTTGGAACTAAAAAAAAAAAAAAAAAAAAAAAAATGGCAGCCACAGCACTTTCTGTCTAAACTGTCATCTAGATGAAGCTCTGGTGTCTCGTTCATTTCCCAAATTGGGTAATTGCAGCCATGAAGAAATACTGAAGTTTCCTCAGTGTCAAGGAGTCAATAACATCATCTTCATCTACAAAGCACCCCATAAATGTTAAAATTTCGTTGTGATTTTCTGTGTAATTCTCTTTTCATGAAATGAACTTTTACCCACCAGAGCAAACAAACACTGAACCAGCTCTTCATATATACAGCAAAGGAAAGGCATGTGATTATTTAGCATTTGAGGCTTAGTCATCATCTGCTTTTCTTTCAACTATTTGTCCAGATTATTTCTTTCATGTTCTCTTAGGCTTTCTTATCAAATAAAACAAAAGCTTTTAAAAAAGAAGCAATACAATTTTATGATAAAAAGAAATTAAAGAAAAACCAAAGGGTAGAAAATAAAAACCATTGAAAAGCCCATTATCCAGAAATAACCATTAGTCTATTCTTGTGTACTTGCTCACATTAATTTATATGTATGTATACGGGTTTATAAAAGTTTTATTTTACTTGAATTGTTGATGACCTGCTTTTCTGTTAATAATGTACTATAAACATTTTTTATGTCATCAAATACTCCGTAGGAGTGTCATTTTTATGGCTACCTGTATCCCTTTTACAGATGTGGCTGAATACATTTAGCCAATACCCTATTTGTAGCCATTTGTGGTGTTTTAAATTTTATTCTGTACTCTACAATGTTGAATATAGGCTGAAGTATAACATATTCTTAATTTTTCTTCTGATTCTTGCCTTCTTATTCCAATTTTGTGGGTTTATTAGGGTTTTTGTATATTTATATATGTAGATAGATACATACATACACTTTGGGTAGAGTTCCTATGTCAGTACTAGCGTTCAGCTAGATAGCCATTGATCCATGACCCTGTATATAAAGCTACTGGGGCCAAACATGTTTTCATGATTTAGAGTTTTTAGCCCTGAGATAGTGCAGTGCATATACGTCACATTGCCAGTGAGGACCGGGACAGTACCCTCAAATCAAACTTATAAACATTTCTAAAATAAAATATATGACCATTTCCACTAAGTGGATAAATGTCGATTTGAGTCAGATTTTGCCACCAAATGTGTTTTGGAGTTACCGTTTGAAAATATTTGGTTTTCAGATCTTTTAGGGTTTTAGGATTGTGGATAAAGTACTGTGAACTGTAGAACTGAAAAAATGCATTTCAAATGCAGAGTGATACATAGAGTTAAGTGATGAAACGATAATGCATTTGCATTTTACATTTTCATATTTCAATAATGCAATATTAAAAATTCCTAGTGGAAAAAAGCTACATAACACCTCTTTTATTTTTTCCTAAACTTGTTTGTAGGAAAGAACACCAAATCTTTTCTGGTCTATATTTAATTGAAATCACAGGAGCTTCTGAGCTTCTTAAACAAGTTTTTGTTGTTGCCATTGGTATTTAACCCTAAACTATTATAATAGAATTCTGTATAGTACATAAACTTTTCAGATTAGGAATTATGGTATTTAAGGATACTAAGCAAAATATATAAAGATGAATAGCAGGTAGGAGGATAGAAAACCCAACTGAGTGTTATGCAGTACTAGCTACCTGACATGGTATGAACAGAACTTACAGGAAAAGCCCCATCTACCACCCCAGTGGATGGGGCTATCATCATTAACAGGAGACTCAAACCAGTGGTCACACAAAGCTATGTCTACTGGGGAACCCTGCAGAATATGGATAGAGTATGCCCTAGCTGCTGGGGTAATGAACCCAAATAAATGCCTGTAAAAATAATGCAAGACACCCAAGGCGGAGCCCTTTGGAGCATCTGCAGCATCAACAATAACATGCAATGAGAAATAGGCTCTGAGTTGCTGCTTCATGGAGCATATCCCCAGTCTAGCCTGCAGCAGAACTAAGCTTTTCAGTCCCAGCAGAAATGAATGGAAATCCTAATATTCCTAGGGATAAAATAGGGAAGATCAAATGGGCAAACAAGATCTTTTCTTTCTTATAAGTATATGGAATGGGAGGATTAGATCACTGTTTTGTGTGATAGAGATGGCGTGGCTCTAGAAGCTCACTGTCTCAAAATAATTCGTTGCGAACATCAGAATCTCATCTAAAAGGTTAACAAAATCTTAAGAAAAAATAAAGGATATTGACATCCAAATATCTTATCTCTTTAAGGGGAGAACTTGTTTATTCCCAAATGCAGATTTATGAATCATAGTTAATGAACAGAAAAACATTATCAATACTAATGTAAGTGAAAAGATTGAATTTCTCAAAGAAAAAATAATGATGCAAATGCCATTATCTTCTTATAATATACTATGCTACAATATAACATGGTTCTATTATATTTAGAATGGACTTTTCATCCATGTGGCTGTGATCATTTCCTAAAGCAGAGGAATCTGCAGCCTAATGACACATCAGGAATTGATGGAGCTCCAGTGGACAGCTTCCATGAGGTGTGTGGGTGGCAGATGTGAAATCAATTAAAAAAACAGAATATATATATTTTTTATTTTTGTTCACCATCATGTACATAAAAGCCGGTAAGCCTCTTCCAGTGTATATGTATGTGTAACTTTTGCAGTAAAATCTGGATGAAAAATCAATAGAAATTTAGAGTCTTTCTTCATAGGAACTGTATGATCACTTTGGCAGAAGGAAAAATAAACACGTGAAAACAACCTCAAGTCAATAAAATGTATGATCAGTAACATATGATTAGTATGTAAGTTATAGCATGGATAATGTTGATTCTAGCTAATTACCTTTGAAATTGAGGCAGGGCAAAACCAATTATGAGCTAGAGGTCATAAGTAACTCCAGGAACTCCAAGTTGAAAATCTCCAAGGAGAGAGGGTTGGACATTGGTACTCCTGTGGAATAGAGAACAGAGAAGTCATTCCAGGCAGAGGAATGACAGGCAGAGGGGAATGTTGGGTAACTAGACTGGGCTCATTCTAAGTGAGCAACACATGCAATTACAAAGACATCTACGCTCTTGTGTCTCCTGCTGCAGAGGTCTTGATGCTGTGAATGATGACTAATGTATCTTTGGGTCTCCAAAGTGATTTAATTCTATCATTTTTGGAGGCAAGGCTTTATTATAAGCTACACGAATAACTTCAAAAAAGGTATTAAATTAACTGTGTATTATTTACAGCAAGTGCATTTCTCTGGTATAAATCTGTCTTATTTATGCATCAGATGAGAAAACAGTTTATTGCCATTATATGTTGTTCAGGACTGAAGGTTACAATCTGTCACAATATCTCTTCAAATCCAAATTCTGGCTAATTGATTCTTTTTGTGATAAATTTTATTTTATGATTCAATTATATTTTATTTTAAAAAATATTAACGTAATAAATGAATATAATAAATACCATATGAACAAATATTTATTTTATGACTCAATTTTGTTACATGATTCAAATTAGTCATGGTGTTCCTGATAAAAGCTCCCTTAATTTTTTTAATTAATAAAGATGAGATTGCTGAATTGATTGTGATTAAGGTATAGTAAGATGTCTAAAAATACATCAGAAAGGCTTGGGTTTAATCCCAAATTCATTATTTGCTGGTCTATGATTTGGGCAAATTACTTGCCTTGTCTTCAACTTTCTTGTCTATACAATGGAAACAATAAGAGTACCTATTTTACAGAGAGTTGCAAGGAAAGTCAAATGAGATAAGGAGTGTGTAATGTGTTGCCTTGACCATAATATTTTTAATGAGTACTAATTATTTCTTTTGTTATTGTTGTGAAGATGTTGATGATGACTTTAGTTTTATTCTCTGTTGAATCTAGTGCCTTTATAAATTATTTGACTTCTTTAAGTTAAACTTTCTTCAGTTGTACAATTTTACTATATGTTCTCTTAGGTTCCTTTGCTCTAAAGTTCTATAAATCCATTCTGAAATTTCCAAAAGTCTTCAACAGAATCCTAAAGGAAATGGAGATAATGACATATAATAACATAACAAATATATTTTGACATTTGTCCTTTTTATCCCCTAAACTAAAAAACATGATTGGATGATAACTGCAACTCTTTGGGGAGTAAGGTAATAAAAATGTAAACGCTAAGTAGCTGTGAAGAATTTTTCATTGTTGTTAGCAACTAAATGTGCTCCGTTCTTTGCAGGTTTTGCTGATTTTATCAAGAATCTGGATATTCCAAATTAACCTTCTTAGCATCTTGAAATGACTTAGTCAACATCATTACTCACCATACATCATATTGTTTTATTGGAAAGAAGTATCCATCAGTGTTCACTCAGAGAACTTTTATTTGGAGCCAGGCAGTATGGTGACTTTTTAAACAAGATATTTGATTCAGTGAAATCAGTTATCACGCTGAAGAGCAAAACTACCATGAGCAGAATCAGTAAGCTTAGTAGTTGCATACACAGACCCTGGGACCAGACTCTGCATGTTTATTCCAGGAGTACCCTTTACAGTCATTCAGGGAAGGACCATCCTTAGTATCTTTCAAAAGATACGCACATATATATGTGTGTATATATATATATGGTATATATATCAGCTTTATTGAGATACAGTTTATATGCCATACAATTTGCCTATTTAAAGTATATAGGTCAATGTTTTTTACTATATTCACAGAGTTGTGCACAACCACAATCATTTTTAGAACATTTTAATCACCTCAGGAAGAGGGTGTCACCTCTTCTTAGCAGTCACCCTCTATTTCTTCTAACCCCCTTAATCATAGGCAGCCATTGCCTGACTTGCTGCCTATAAGGATTTGCCTATTTTGGACACTTCACATAAATGGAATTATGTAATATGTAGTCTTTTCTGTCTAGCTTCTTTCACTTGGCATAATATTTACAAGGCTCATCCATGTTGTAGGATGTATCAACATTTTAACCCCTTTTATTGTCAGATAATATTCTATTGTATGCTGAATACATCATGTTTATTTACCCATTTATCAGTTGATCGACATATGGGCTCTATCCACTTTTGGACTATTATGAATAATGTCGATATGAACATTTGTATAAGTTTTTGTGTGGACATGTGTTTCCACTTCTCTTGTGTATATACCTCGGAGTAGAATTGCTGAGTCACATGGTAACTCAGTTTGACCTTTTAAGCACGTCTCAAACTCTTTTCCAAAGAAACTACACTATTTTCTTCTGCCAGCAGTGTATGTGGGTCTCAATTTCTCCACATCCTGGCCAACACTTACTATTATCTGTCTTTTTGATTATGGCCATTATCGTAGTTGTGAAGTGATATCTCATTGTGGTTTTAATTCGCATATGTGAAATATGATTTGCAAATATTTTCTCCCATTCTGTGGTTTGCCTTTTCACTTTATTGATAGTATGCTTTGAATCTCCCTTAATAGAAAATGAGAAAAATAATGAATTTCTATCTCATAAGTTTGTTTAGGAGAATTAAGTGAGCACATTAAGTGCTTAGAATAGTGTTGGTATATAGTAGATGTGCAATAATATTAAGTATTAGTATCATAACCTCATTTAAAATTATGCTATTTCACTTAAAAAAACCTACAATACTTAAAGGCTTCATTTGGAGAAAAAGAGATGACTAAGGGAACTCAAATGCAAAGAGGAAATGAACTTGATTTTTTATGGTTTCTTATTCAATGTTTAATTGTTTTCTCTCCAGGGATTATTGTAATGGGTTTAATTAAAATAAATTAATAAGAGTTTTTATACTCTTCTTTCTTTAAAATAAATTCAACTTAGTGGTTGAAAGTCATTCTAAAAATAAGCTGTTGCTATATAGAAGAGAAAGGCAATTTAATGAATAGATTTGTTTATCATGATAAAAAGATTTTTAGTAATGGAAATGAAATGCTTACTTTATGCATATATGTTAAAAACATAAACTCTTCTGAGGGGAAAATGTTTTACTTTAATAAGTGCAACAAGCCTTTTTCTTACTAACTATTCCAAGTTATGAAATTTTTCACTTCTATTTTATAAATGCAGAACAAGATTCTTTTTCAGAATGCTGACACATCATAGAAGGCATAAATTAAAGTCATGTTTACAGATGCAAGCTCTATCATTTTTAAAATAAAGTAGAATATTTTTGTTTTTAGCAAAATCATTTCCTGTATAACTGTGATGATCACAGAAAAAAGATGAAATGAACATTTGGAGTCATAGAAGGTAAACGGGAATAGCCATTAGCTACTAATGGAAAAAAGTTCAGCAGGGGCATTAAATCTGTATTACAGAGCCACCAATTTGTATTTTATCATATTGATAATGAATATCAACATTACCATTGAAACGAAACTAGGCATTCTCTCTTTAATCCCAATGGGGAATTTAAATCAATAATGCCCACATTATCCATCTACGTGCGTATCTATATATGCACATGTACTCTTAAACTACAAAATCATATAATGCGTTTCACTTTCATTTCAAATCTTTAACACAGTGATGTACTTTTCTATTCTTCCAATCAATTTATTCTGTTAGTGTTTTTCAGCATTTTAAATCCCTAAGCTAAGTCAATAATGTTGATTACTTACCATAAGCACTGTAAATGCTATTCTAATACAGGTTATTTGCAATTTGACATCCTCATCTATATGCATTATTCTGCAAGGAAAATTAAATGAAACCCTTGATTTAGAATCTGAAACACTTAGAAGTAATGATCCTGTTTACTGATTGAATGTAGTTGTGGTTTTTAAGCACTACTTAATAGAGGAAACAAAAAGCAGTACTCAAATAAAATGGAAGCATCTGAGTTACTTTAGAAAGCATTCGTAGTTAAGAAATAATAGACTTTTATTTTATTTTTCCCTGTTTATGCCTCAGTGCTACTTAGCCACCATTGTTATTTAGTTTAATGTTACTCATTTTTTGAGATGCCTGATCTTTCCAAATTTAAACTTAATGAATCCTATTAGTAATTCAAAGATTAGTAGAACGTCATTCACATAAATCAAGTTTTCTATCATGTATTTGTTTTAATTACATTATTGAAACAGACTTCTAAAATATCTTTTATAAAGGGTTAGTTTTATTTACAATGTTAATTTATCTTTTACATGTCATATATTGGACATTTTAGGGGCAGTTGTCACAGTTCCCTTCTTTCTGAATTAAGTGAAAGGCCATAAAGTACTTTTTATAAATGTTTGTAGAAATTTTCAAATCAATAAAATTGCTGCAAATCCTTCGATGAAAATTGAAACATCTGAAATGCTTTGCCTTCTTTATCTTTTATTTGGACAGTTAGTCTCAAGCCTCTACTTCAAATGAGAATCTCCTAATAAAATCAATCAATCAATCAATCAATCACTCACTCACTTTTGGATGGTCAGATATTTAGCATTCAACTTAGCCTATGTTTGTATTTAAAATTAGGAATGAGTAAACTTATTTCAGATAAAATAAAATAAAAACAAAGATCCTAAAGTATGTCTGGTATTTT